AAAGAGCCGAAGATGTTGGCTCGGTCATGTGATCAGCTGTGTCCAATCACAGCTGATCACATGTAAACAGGGAAATGCCGGTTATCGGCATTTCTCTCCTCTCGAGCTGTCATATTGACAGCTCGAGAGGAGAGGAGAGCCGGTAATCGGCATTCCGCGGAGGGGACATGTACACTGATCATCAGGGCACTGATGATCAGTGTGCCCTGATGATCAGTGTGGCCCCAGAATTGCCACCTGTCAGTGTCCATCAGTGCCAGCTGTCAGTGCTGAACAGTGCCAGTGCCCATCAGTGCCACATTAATGCCACGTATCAGTGCCTACCAGTACATATCAATGCCACATAACAGTGCCCATCTGAGCTGCCTTTCAGTGTCACCCATCAGTGCCAGTCAGTGCCACTTATCAATGCCAATCAGTGCCACCTATCAGTGCCAGTCAGTGCCGCCTATCAGTGCCAGCCAGTCCCACCTATCAGTGCCAGTCAGTGCCGCCTATCAGTGCCAGTCAGTGCCGCCTATCAGTGCCATATATCAGTGCTGTCTTTCAGTTCCCATCAGTGATGCCTGTCAATGTCCATCAGTGCCACCTACCAGTGCCTCCTCATCAGTGCCCATCAGTGCCACATCAGTGCCCATCACTGCAGCCTCATTAGCGCACATCAGTGAAGGAGAAAAATCACTTATTTACAAAATTTTATAACAAAAACTAAGAAAAAACTTTTTTTTAGTTTCAAAATTTTCAGCGGTTTTTGGTTTGTTTATGAAAAAATAAAAAACCCAGAGGTGATTAAATACCACTAAAATAAAATTCTATCTGTCACAAAAAAATGCAAAAAATTTCATATGGGTACAGTGTTGCATGACCGCGTAATTGTCATTCAAAGTGTGACAGCGCTGAAAGCTGGAAATTGGCCTGGGCAGGAAGGGGGTATAAGTGGCCTGTAGGCAAGCGGTTAATATACATACCAGACCCGATGGGCTTGGTATGGATGGGAGGGGGGACACCACGCAGTTTTTTTTTTTTTTATTACAGACCTTTATTTTTACATTTAGCTGTCAAAATAAATATTATCTAGACCTTCAAAATAAGTAAAATCATTACAGAAATAATTATAAAGGATAAGAAACAAAAATAGAATCAATAGAACTAAGGAAATCAAATTAGAATACATAAAGATATGCCTAGTGCTGTTTGTTAAACACAGTAGACGCGATCTTTTGCCGTCTGTCAGTGGACTCCACACAGAGATTTACTATTGAACAGCGGCTAAAAAGAAAGCGCCCAAGGAAGACGTCTAAAATGTGTTTTGCACATGCTCAGTTATATCCGGCCATAGACACTGGAAAAGTGTCTAGTTCCTCACTGTGACGACTTGCTTTAAAAAAAACTATTTTTTACACATTTTAAAAAATGTTTTAAATGTCAGATATTGTTTAAAATGAAGTCCTGCTATTTGCCAAAGCAAATTTTAATGTGAACATGTCTCTGCAGTGATTTTTCATTGTGTTAGACGTGCTTCTTAGCAAGTCTGCTTTTTGAGTCTGATTCCTGGACTGTGTTTGGTTAGTAAATTCGATTTGGCGTCTACTTGTTGACACTTTCTTTAGTAAATGTCTTTGCAGTCTAAAAGTAGACGGTCGCTATTGAAAAGTAGACATTAGCCCACAGAAATGCGTCTAGGCACAATAGTATATCAGGGTCAAAGTGTCAGAAAAGGCTTGATCTTCAAGTGGTTAGAAGAGAGTGATGTGTGGCATAAACTTCTAATGCTGAGCATAAAACGCCCCCACCCCCCAAAATGACCCCTTTTTGGAAAGTAGACACCCCAAACTATTTGCTGAGAGGCATGTTGAATCAATAGAAGAATTTATTTTTTTACCACAAGTTTTTGGAAAATGACAAACAAAACATTTTTTTTTTACACAAAATTTGTCACTTAAATGATTTATTGCTCACACATGCCATGGGTATATGTGGAATTACTCCCCAAAATACATTCTGCTACTTCTCCTGAGTATGGGGGTACCACATGTGAGAGACGGTTTGGCAGTCTAGACAAGTATAGAACCCCAAAATCCAATAAGCACCATCAGGCTTTTAAAGGGTTTTATTTCCTCATTACACTTTCTGACTACCTATCACAGTTTTGGAGGCCCCGAAATGCCAAACCCCCCCAAATACCCTCTTTTTGGAAAGTGGACACCCAAAAGAATTTGATAAGAAGCATGGTGAGTATTTTGCGAATCTCATTTGTTGCCACAAGTTTTTGGAAAATGAAGAAAAAAAAACAAAATTTTATCTATTCTTTTTTTATATTTCAAAACCTTGTGAGAAAAAATGAGATCTGCAAAATACTCACCATGCCTTTTTTTAAATTCCTTGGGGTGTCTACTTTCCAGAAAAAGGTCATTTGCGGGGGTTTGGTGCTATCCTGGCATGTCAGGGCCTTCAAAACTGTGATAGGTATTGAGGAAGTGAAATGAAGAAGTTACGCACCTTCAGGCTGTCAAAGTGGTCATTGGATTTCAGGCTCCTGTATGTAGCTAGGCTCCCAAAAAGTCTCACACATGTGGTATCCCCATATTTGGTAGAAGTTGCAGAATGTATTTTGGGGTGTAATTCCACATATAACCATTACTTGTGCGAGAAATAAATCATTTAAATGACAACTTTGTGTAAAAAAAAAATGTTTTTGTCATTTTCCAGAAACTTGTGGAAAAAAATAAATCTTACATGGACTCAATATGCCTCTCAGCAGATAGCTTAGGGTGTCTACTTTCCAAAAATGGGTCATTTGAGGGTTTTTTGTACTATCCTGGTATTTTAGCACCTCAAGAAATGTGATAAGCAGTCAGAAAGTAAAAGCTGTGTAAATTCCATTATCTATACCATAGATTGTAGATGCTATAACTTTCACACAAAGCAATAAATATATACTTACTTGGATTTTTTTTAACCAAAAACATATAGCAGAATATTGAGTTAAATTTATGACAAAATTTTAGCTTTTTTGGATATTTTTTATGACCGAAATGAGAAAATATTGTTTTTTTTAAAAACAATGTTTTTTCTTCAAAAATAGTATTGTTTATAGCGCCAAAAATAAAAAGTGCACAGGTGATCAAATACCACCAAAAGAAAGCTCTATTTGTGTGAAAAAAGGACATAAATTTCATTTATGTACCGTATTGCATGACCGCACAATTGTCCGTTTAACTAGCGCAGCGCTGTATAGCAAAAAATTGCATAAATTGCAGTATCTATACCATAGTTTGTAAACGCTATAACTTTCAAACAAAAGCAATCAATATACACTTGAGATTTTTTTTTTACCAAAAACATGTAGCAGAATACATTTTGGCCTACATTTATAACTAACTTTGAGTTTACTATATATTTTTTATAGCTGAAAGTAAAAAAATATAGTTTTTCTTCAAAATTTTCATTTTTTTTCATTTATAGCGTGAAAAATAAAAAGCGCACAGGTGATCAAATACTGCCGAAAGAAAGCTCTATTTGTGTGAAAAAAGGACGTAAATTTTGTTTGGGTGCAGCATTGCATGACCGCGCAATTATCAGTTGAATTAGTGCAGCGCCTAGTAGCAAAAAGAGTCCTGGTCATTAAGGGAGTGCAAGTGGTTAAAATGGCTCCAGAAACCAAGCCCTCCCACAGTCTTTTGTTTCAAATTTGCAGGCTCATTAACCACTCCCCTAGTAACCTCCCACTGTAATTTAGGCTAGTAATGTGTGTTCTTTTTTAGTCTCAGCTAGGCTAATTAACATAATTGGCAGAAACACTCAAGAGGGGGAACAACTGGAGTCTTATGTTACAGCTGTCTGAACAATTGTGATTTATGGATTACAATTTAAACTCTCAGACTCATTATATAAAATCATAACAAAGTATACATTACATAGGCCGACTCTAAGACAAAATATAAGCTAAACCTTGCCTTCCGTAATTATCCAACTCCAGACAGAAATAATTCACATCTGTTACTACTCAGTTCAAAACCTTTCATTCACATCACAAAGTGCTATAGGCACATCAGGCTGTACAGCCTCCCCTCTGATGATGTGCCTAAAGCATGAAAGGCCTAAGGAGGAGCTGTGCAGAGCGTAATGTCATTTCACCGCCGGAGCCACGAGGAGACCCGGCGGCCATCTTTGTTGGGGTCAGTATTGCTGTTTTCACTGATATTCAGTTCTTGTGATATGCATACTATCCTGCTTTTACCTTACCAATAAATACTTTTTGGGAACATACTACACTATCTCTGGCACCTGTTTTTGGGGCTCCTGTGTGGAGCTATTACCCCCACAGGGAAGGTGCCTGTACCATCTAGAGGAGGGATCATCACCACCATAGAGGATTACCTGGCTGACCTTAAGGGGATCTCTGGACCTGAATTGGAGCTCTGGATGACCCACCATGAGAAGGATGCCTACCACCTGGTCTTTGACGGATCTAACATCTAGGATGATTATTCCTACATGCGCATAATCCATGCGTTTCTGGTGAGTGCGCATTTCTATCATTTAAGGCAGAAAAGCTCTGGATATTTTCACCATTCTAGAGAGCACCGTGGTTACTTAATTGACTTTTATTTGCTGCTTTTTGCTGTCTTTTGCTGCATTTTGATTCTAATTTTAAGCGCTGCACTATATTATTTACGTTTATATTTTGCATTTAAAGGCATTGTGGTTGCCTTAAGTGTTCTAGCTGCTATATTCATACAAGAGCGCTCACTACAATTTGTCTAAGAACTGAAAAATACCAACCCACCCAGGCCTCTGCCAGCATACTACCAAAATTATGTTTCCAAAACATCAGAGAAAAGAAAACCACCCCGTTGACCACACCTAGGCCACCCATCCACTTGGGATGGTAGGTTATAGACCTCTTAATGAGGTTTAGTCTGTTCCCCCACAACAGCTGGAATAAACAACTGTAGATCTTCGCATAGAAAGACACTGGCAAAACACAGGCAAAGCTGACATACAGGGATCAAGTAAGTTTTAATCAGGTCAATCCTTTCCCTGTAAGAGTTTTCAATCCTTCCAGCTGGCAGCCTTGGCATCGGCATCCTGTAACCTGTTAATCCAATTTGCAAGGCCGTAATTGCCAGGACCAAATTTGATACCTAAAACTTTAATTTCCTGCCTGAGTTCTGGGAAGGCATCTGGTAGCATAAAGCCTTCCTCTCCCATCCAGAACACCTTACTCTCCTTACAATCCTGATTGATCTTTGAGCCAGATACCTCAGCATACTGTTCCATCACCGAGACCAACTCTTCCGCCTCATCTGTCCCAGAGTTGAAAACAGACACATCATCAGCATAGGCCACGACCCTCAGAGGAGGCTCACCAGCAGTGCCCAAAAGAACTCCATACAACGGTCCACTCTCTAACCTCCGAATGAAGGAATTGTTTTGCGAACGCGTACAGTGGAGGACTCAAAGCACACCCCTGATGCACACCTGAGCCAACCCCAAAAGGCCATCCGACCCAACCATTCACAAGCCTGAAGCTTTCAGCCCCCTTCTATAAAGTCTTCAGCCAATCAATAAAGCCCCCTCCAGGCCATAGAAGCAGCCATAGGCACACATGGTTGACCCAATCAAAAGCTTTAGCCTAATCCAATGCCAGCAGGAAATTTCCCCAGCCTGCAGCCCTACGCCATTCCAGGGCCTCCTGG